GTCTGTGAGGGTACTGCAGGGGCTGTCTGTGGACCCCTGTTGGTCTGTGAGGGTACTACAGGGGGTGTCTGTGGACCCCTGTTGGTCTGTGAGGGTACTACAGGGGGAATCTGTAGACCCCTGTTGGTCTGTGAGGGTACTACAGGGGATGTCTGGACCCCTGTTGGTCTGTGAGGGTACTACAGGGGGTGTCTGTGGACCCCTTTGGTCTGTGAGGGTACTGCAGGGGGTGTCTGTGGACCCCTGTTGGTCTGTGAGGGTACTACTGGGGGTGTCTGGACCCCTGTTGGTCTGTGAGGGTACTACAGGGGTTTTCTGTGGACCCCTGTTGGTCTGTGAGGGTACTACAGGGGGTGTCTGTGGACCCCTGTTGGTCTGTGAGGGTACTACAGGGGGTGTCTGTGGACCCCTGTTGGTCTGTGAGGGTACTACAGGAGGCCCTGTTGACCCCTGTTGGTCTGTGAGGGTACTATAGGGGGTGTCTGTAGACCCCTGTTGGTCTGTGAGGGTACTACAGGGGGTGTCTGTAGACCCCTGTGGGTCTGTGAGGGTACTACAGGAGGTCCCTGTTGACCCCTGTTGGTCTGTGAGGGTACTACAGGGGGTTTTCTGTGTACCCCTGTTTGTGCGAGGCTACTACAGGGGATGTCTGGACCCCTGTTGGTCTGTGAGGGTACTACAGGGGTGTCTGTAGACTCCTGTTGGTCTGTTAGGGTACTACAGGGAGTGTCTGGACCCCTGTTGGTCTGTGAGGGTACTACAGGGGGTGTCTGTGGACCCCTGTTGGTCTGTAAGGGTACTACAGGGGGTCCCTGTGGACCCCTGTTGGTCTGTGAGGGTACTACAGGGGGTGTCTGTGGACCCCTGTTGGTCTGTGAGGGTACTAAAGGGGGAGTCTGTGGACCCCTGTTGGTCTGTGAGGGTACTACAGGGAGTGTCTGGACCCCTGTTGGTCTGTGAGGGTACTACAGGGGGTGTCTGTGGACCCCTGTTGGTCTGTAAGGGTACTACAGGGGGTCCCTGTGGACCCCTGTTGGTCTGTGAGGGTACTACAGGGGGAGTCTGTGGACTGCTGTTGGTCTGTAAGGGTACTACAGAGGGGTGTCTGTGGACCCCTGTTGGTCTGTGAGGGTACCACAGGGGGTCCCTGTGGACCCCTGTTGGTCTGTGAGGGTACTACAGGGGGTGTCTGGACCCTGTTGGTCTCTGAGGGTACTACAGGGGGTCCCTGTGGACCCCTGTTGGTCTGTGAGGGTACTACAGGGGGTGTCTGTGGACCCCTGTTGGTCTGTGAGGGTACTACAGGGGGTGTCTGTGGACCCCTGTTGGTCTGTGAGGGTACTGCAGGGGCTGTCTGTGGACCCCTGTTGGTCTGTGAGGGTACTACAGGGGGTGTCTGTGGACCCCTGGTGGTCTGTGAGGGTACTACAGGGGGAATCTGTAGACCCCTGTTGGTCTGTGAGGGTACTACAGGGGATGTCTGGACCCCTGTTGGTCTGTGAGGGTACTACAGGGGGTGTCTGTGGACCCCTTTGGTCTGTGAGGGTACTGCAGGGGGTGTCTGTGGACCCCTGTTGGTCTGTGAGGGTACTACTGGGGGTGTCTGGACCCCTGTTGGTCTGTGAGGGTACTACAGGGGTTTTCTGTGGACCCCTGTTGGTCTGTGAAGGTACTACAGGGGGTGTCTGTGGACCCCTGTTGGTCTGTGAGGGTACTACAGGGGGTGTCTGTGGACCCCTGTTGGTCTGTGAGGGTACTACAGGAGGCCCTGTTGACCCCTGTTGGTCTGTGAGGGTACTATAGGGGGTGTCTGTAGACCCCTGTTGGTCTGTGAGGGTACTACAGGGGGTGTCTGTAGACCCCTGTGGGTCTGTGAGGGTACTTCAGGAGGTCCCTGTTGACCCCTGTTGGTCTGTGAGGGTACTACAGGGGGTTTTCTGTGTACCCCTGTTTGTGCGAGGCTACTACAGGGGATGTCTGGACCCCTGTTGGTCTGTGAGGGTACTACAGGGGTGTCTGTAGACTCCTGTTGGTCTGTTAGGGTACTACAGGGAGTATCTGGACCCCTGTTGGTCTGTGTGGGTACTACAGGGGGTGTCTGGACCCCTGTTGGTCTGTGAGGGTACTACAGGGGGTGTCTGTGGACCCCTGTTGGTCTGTGAGGGTACTACAAGGGGTGTCTGTGGACCCCTGTTGGTCTGTGAGGGTACTAAAGGGGGAGTCTGTGGACCCCTGTTGGTCTGTGAGGGTACTACAGGGTGTCTGTGGACCCCTGTTGGTCTGTGAGGGTACTACAGGGGGAGTCTGTGGACTGCTGTTGGTCTGTAAGGGTACTACAGAGGGGTGTCTGTGGACCCCTGTTGGTCTGTGAGGGTACTACAGGGGGTCCCTGTGGACCCCTGTTGGTCTGTGAGGGTACTACAGGGGGTGTCTGGACCCTGTTGGTCTCTGAGGGTACTACAGGGGGTCCCTGTGGACCCCTGTTGGTCTGTGAGGGTACTACAGGGGGAGTCTGTGGACCCCTGTTGGTCTGTGAGGGTACTAATGGGGGTGTCTGTGGACCCCTGTTGGTCTGTGAGGGTACTGCAGGGGGTGTCTGTGGACCCCTGTTGGTCTGTGAGGGTACTACAGGGGGTGTCTGTGGACCCCTGTTTGGTCTGTGAGGGTACTACACAGGGATCTGTGGACCCCTGTTGGTCTGTGAGCGTACTACAAGGGGTGTCTGTGGACCCCTGTTGGTCTGTGAGGGTACTGCAGGGGGTGTCTGTAGACCCCTGTTGGTCTGTGAGGGTACTACAGCGGATGTCTGTGGACCCCTGTTGGTCTGTGAGGGTACTACATGGGGTGTCTGTGGACCCCTGTTGGTCTGTGAGGGTACTGCAGGGGGTGTCTGGACCCCTATTGGTCTGTGAGGGTACTACAGGGGGAGTTTGTAGACCCCTGTTGGTCTGTAAGGGTACTACAGGGGGTCCCTGTGGACCCCTGTTGGTCTGTGAGGGTGCTACAGGGGGTGTTCCGGGAAAATAGTAATAAAATAACACCTGGTAGCAAATGCTGGTACGAAAAGCGATAGGAGGTGGACGAGGGGTCTACCAGTCCCTCTCGCCTGGTCAAACGGCAACGAAACTAAACCTTGAATCGCCACAATAGAGGTTTTTCGTTGGGTTAAATCGCCTTGATTATAAATATGTTGTTAAACCCGCCACCACCTGACACAGCCAGTTAGTAAAGTGTTTGTCACATCAACAGAACGTGGCCAATTCGTTACCGGTGCAGCACTAACCGGTTGCGTGGTGGAGAGAAAAACCCACAACATTTACCAAGTACCGTGACTTTTTTACAACCAGCAGCATCCGCAGGCATCAGCCAGGGCTGCGATAAACCTTTGCTAATTTGGCGGGTGGTGGCGGGTTTAACGACACATTCACTTTTACGCGATCTTACCCAAAAATCTCTTATGGATAACATTAGTCGTGAAAGCCTGCTACGTGTCAAAGTAAAATATTAACTTTTTTTTTTTATTTTAACGGGTAACAACCACGCTGAGCTATGTAACTCTTTTTTCAGAAGCTACCTTGGCCAATACAAATGATAGCTCATACGTGGTGGCTTATCATCATCGTCATCATCATCATCATCACCACGTGGACATTTGTAGCCCGCAGCCAAATAATACTGGACGCGTGACATTGATTCCAAATGTGGAGGGAATAACCGGAGGACCCGGGGAAAAATTCGCAGCGTTGAACTTCTGCCGCGCATCGTACGTACCCAGCCGCGCCAATCGGAGGTCCGGGAGAAGGACAACAAGCTAACACACACAAAGAGCATTTCTAGAGAAATGCGTTTTCAACGTAGTGTAGTGGGTGTCGCCTATAGTGTAGTGGGTGTATGTTGAACTTCTGTCGCGCACCGTACGTACCCAGCCGCGCCAATCAGAGGTCCGGGAGAAGGACAACAAGCTAACACACACAAAGAGCATTTCTAGAGAAATGCGTTTTCAACGTAGTGTAGTGGGTGTCGCCTATAGTGTAGTGGGTGTATGTTGAACTTCTGTCGCGCACCGTACGTACCCAGCCGCGCCAATCAGAGGTCCGGGAGAAGGACAACAAGCTAACACACACAAAGAGCATTTCTAGAGAAATGCGTTTTCAACGTAGTGTAGTGGGTGTCGCCTATAGTGTAGTGCCGTGGTCCTTAACCTGGGGTGCAGCTCGCATTCCCCAGGGGCGCGAGATACCCATTTTTTGGGGGGCACACAAGACGTGGCAAAATCTTTTTTAGAAGGTACATCGAAAACACAAATGAAATTCACGGGCATCGTAACTTACAACTTACTTTGTTTCATCAAGCCCGATGTATTTTTTTTACATTGTACATTTTTTTTTAGGATTGAGAACCAAAGGGGTGGAAGGCTGCAGTTAAAGTTAACAACCACTGGTGCAGTGTCTAGACCTGCAGTGGATATTGTAGTGTATAGTGTAGTATATAGTATTGTGTGTAGTGTAAGTGCAGTGTGTAGTTGTGTAGTGTGCAGTATATTATAGTGTATAGTGTAGTGTGTAGTGTAATATGTAATGTATATAACATCTTGACTTAAGCTTTCGTGACTGCAGGAATTCATATTCTTTGGGTCTTTTGGTAAAGTCACGTAGATAGGTTTTGTTATTATTTTCTTTGAACCTATCTTCGTGACTTTACCGAAAGACCCAAAGAATGTAATGAATATTGTAGTGGACAGTGTAGTGTATAGTCGTGTAGTGTGTAGCAGTGTGTAGTGTATAGTGTAGTATGTAGTGTAGTGTATAGTCGTGTCGTGTGTACTAGTGTATAGTGTAGTGGGTGTATGTTGAACTTCTTTCGCACCGTACGTAGCCAACCGCCCTAATCGGATGTGCGGGTGGAATAACAACAAACGTAACACGCGAAAAATCAGTCCTGATAGCGGGGAGGGGGCAACGGGTGGTGGAAGCTATTTGACAGCGACCACTCGCACGCAATTGAACCAGAGACCTGCGTTTATTTCTCGTCCAAAAAACAGCCACACTGATCAGGGTACAAAACATGATGTAAACATCCTGTTTCTGGTGCTTGATTATTTTGTCTATTTTTTTTTTTAACCATTACATGATGATCAAAAATGTCCAATGTACGCTGCAGGCAAGGGACCCCTCCAACAACAACAACAAAAAAAACCACACCACGATCGCGGACTTCGAGATAGAGAAGCGCCTCCCGCTAGCTCGTAAACGCCACCTGCTCTCCGCGCGGGGGGGCCGGAAATTATAACGAAGTTCATCATCATCATCATCGCCATCGCCATCTGGATCGTCGTCGTCATCTGTCAATGTTCGCATCTCCTATCGACGGGAGACGCGATCTGCGTCGTGGTGGCGCACCGTGGTGGCTAGGAGATGTTAACTACCTCGCCCGGTATGCAGGAGGTCGTGGGTTTCATTCCACTCTATCGCTGAGCCACGACCTAGCTTAACCGCATCCACTCCAGTAACCCCCCACCCCCACTCCCTTCTTAAGCGCCAATCGTAACGAGTCTCTGGCCTAGGGCACCGCAGTGGCTAGGAGATGTTCACTACCTCGCCCGGTATGCAGGAGGTCGTGGGTTTCATTCCACTCTATCGCTGAGCCACGACCTAGCTTAACCGCATCCACTCCAGTAACCCCCCACTCCCCACTCCCTTCTTAAGCGCCAATCGTAACGAGTCTCTGGCCTAGGGCACCGCAGTGGCTAGGAGATGTTCACTACCTCGCCCGGTATGCAGGAGGTCGTGGGTTTCATTCCACTCTATCGCTGAGCCACGACCTAGCTTAACCGCATCCACTCCAGTAACCCCCCACTCCCCACTCCCTTCTTAAGCGCCAATCGTAACGAGTCTCTGGCCTAGGGCACCGCAGTGGCTAGGAGATGTTCACTACCTCGCCTGGTATGCAGGAGGTCGTGGTTTCGCTATGCGACCCTGAAGCCAGCTGTATATTTTGGGTTTGCGTCTTTCTCGAACTCTTTATCCGTGGTCGCGTGGATTTTTCTCCCCGGGTTTTCCCCGCCGCATTTAGAAGCACCCGCTTAGAGTGTGTGACCGCCACTACAAATTTCCACGTGACGGTGATAAGCCACATTTGTCGAGCTATCGTTTGCGATGGCCAGGTCGATTCTGGGAAAAAAGCTACACACCTCTTTTACCTGGTTGAATTAAAACTAGTTTTTACGGGGACTCCTCTACTTACGAACGAGTTAGGTTCCAGAGGACTGTTCATACATCGATTTGTTCGTGAGTCCAAATTTACTGACGTCCTTTCCAAAAAACGTTGTATGGCATGTACACTAAACACGGGGGGAATGGCTTTAAACGTATAATCTCCTGTAGACATAGATGCCGCTGGTTCTTCACGTTTGTGCATCTATTGTGCGGTGGTTGGACTTACGACTATCGGTCCGAACTGGCAACTGGACCGTACGAACCAGGTTTGTTCGTATCTCTGAAAGTTCGCAATTTGAATGTTTGTAAGTTGAGGCGTCCCTTGTAATCTGTAGATGTAGATGCCACCACCGCCATCTATCGCACGGTGGTTGATGCTGCGACTCTCGGCTCGAACAGGCAACTGGGCCATACGAACCGGCTTTGTTCGTATCTCTGAAAGTTCGTAAGTCGAATAAGCAAATCAGTCCCTGTATAGCAAGCACTTGGCTCGGACCCGTCCAACTGCAGTACACTCGTCCTCCACCCCGTAACATTCAGGGCAGTATCTCTGCGAGTCTTCACGTATCTCTGTGGGTCTCACCGCATCGCTACGCGTTTTGTCTCTGGCTTCAAACTTATTATATTTGTGTACGTGGGTCCACGATTTGGGTGGCAAATGGCCACAGTCGACGAAAGACGGCGATTGATGATGATGATGATGACGATGGTGGATCGTTACGCCCCTCCAGGCCAGTGTTCTTCACTAATTTTAAGACATCATCATCACGATCAGTGTACGTGTGAGTGAGCAGGTTTGTGACAGTGTGTGTGTTTTTTTTTACATGTGTGTATTGTCTAGGTAGGGGGCAGGGTTGGGGTGGGGGGGGGGGGGCAGTGGGGGGGCCGCACTAAAGGCCACGTGGGGGAGGGAGGGGTGGGGGGCCAGTGGCTCCCGGGGGGGGCGAGGGGGGGGGTGGGCTTGCTAATGAAGAACACTGGTCAAGGATAATGATGGAGCAGGCTGGTTTGTGAGCTCTGCGTCTTAAGGGGTGGGGGAGGGGGGGGGGGGGATAGGGGGATGGTGGGGGAGGGGGCCCACACACCCACACACACCCACACACACCCACACACACCCACACACACCCACACGAGACCCCCACCCCAAGACGTTTGTCCGATCGCTCCACGTTCGCTACTTCCCTTGACTGCTTGACACGACTGTGACGACGACTGTGACGACAACGACGACTGTGACGACAACGACGACTCCCCCCCCCCCCCCCCCCCCCCCCACCACAACCCACCCACCCCCCCCCCCCCCCCCCCCCCCATTAAACAAGAAGCGACCACACTGAAGAGAGATGCACGTGGGTTACGACGATGACGTCACAATGGCCAGCGACCGCTCAGATCCCACCCGGCCCAAACCCCCAAATCCCGCCCCCCTCCCTACCCCCAACCCTCCCCCCCCCCCCTCCTCACCACCGCCACCACCTCGGATTCAATGTACAGAGGTTTTATTTTTCTCTCTTCGCTGCTACGTCTTGAACGTTGACGATAGCAGCAGAACTGCCACCGCCCCTACCCAATCACCCCCCCCACCCCCCCACACCCCCCCACACCCCCCCCACACCCCCCACACCTTCCACCCACACCCCCCACCCACCCACCCACTTCTTCCCGCCGAAATACAAACAAACCCACGACAAGAACCGTCCCGAAGGAACACGTGGTGGTGTTGGTGGTCGTGGTGATCGTGGTGATCGTGGTGATTGTGGTGGTGATCGTGGTGATCGTGGTGGTGGTCACGTTGGCGGTGGGTTGTGGTGGTGGTGGTGGTGGCCACTAGCGCCGTCATACAAACCAACCACCACCACCGCCAACACCACCACCACCACCACTAACCACCGCCATCAATTACCAGCAACCATTACTGGAAACCACCGACACCACCGCCACCAACCACCGCCACCACCACCACCTACCAACCACAGCCACCACCACCACCACCAACCACCGCCACCACCACCTACCAACCACCGCCACCATCCTAATGACCCACAGAACACCACCAACCCACCTCCGGCACAAGCAGCTGGTGGTGCTTGTGCCGGGTCAAGTCGGTGGGTCACGGGCACCCCCCCCCCCCCCGCCCCCCACCCTCGTCAGCCAGCGAGCTTCCCGTCTCGAAGTGTACCTAGCCTGGCACGGGCGCCGTGCTGACGTCTATCGGCGTCGGTGATTGGATACTCGCAGCGGCTTCCTGCCTGGGCGATTTAAGAGGCGTCGGGTTTGTGTGTGTGTGTGTCTCTGTTTTCAGCGGAGGGTCTCGCGGTGCCAGTAGGAAATTCCACGTTCCCATGACGGCATGTTTTTTTGGGGGGATATTTGGGAAGAGAGGGGATGAGGGAGACGGAGGGGAGGTTAGGCCAAATACTGTGTTCGCAAATAATGCAGTGTGGACAATATACACCCACCCACTCACCCATCCACTCGCTCGGAGCGTTGAGCCACTCGCTCACCCAAACATTCACTCACCCCACTCACCCACAACGTCACTCACCCATCCACTCACTCGGACCGCTGAGCCACTCGTTCACCCAAACATTCACTCACCCCACTCACCCACAACGTCACTCACCCATCCATTCACTCGGACCGCTGAGCCACTCGCTCACCCAAACATTCACTCACCCCACTCACCCACAACGTCACTCACCCCTCCACTCACTCGGACCGCTGAGCCACTCGTTCACCCAAACATTCACTCACCCACTCACCCACAACGTCACTCACCCACTTAAACATTCGATCGCTCCCCCCAGCTCATTCCTCAACCCTCTCATCCACTCAGCCCACTCACTCGCCTATCTCTACACACGCTGGCAGGACGGGGTCGTTCAGTTGGCCTGGGAATCCCTCCCAGAAAGAAGCTAGAGTGTAGTGATGTATAGAATAGTAGTGTAGTGTATAGTGTAGTGATGTATAGAATAGTAGTGTAGTGTATAGTGTAGTGATGTATAGAATAGTAGTGTAGTGTATAGTGTAGTGATGTATAGAATAGTGTAGTGTATAGTGTAGTGATGTAAAGAATAGTAGTGTATAGTGTAGTGATGTATAGAATAGTAGTGTAGTGTATAGTGTAGTGATGTATAGAATAGTAGTGTAGTGTATAGTGTAGTGATGTATAGAATAGTAGTGTAGTGTATAGTGTAGTGATGTATAGAATAGTAGTGTAGTGTATAGTGTAGTGATGTATAGAATAGTAGTGTATAGTGTAGTGATGTATAGAATAGTAGTGTAGTGTATAGTGTAGTGATGTATAGAATAGTAGTGTAGTGTATAGTGTAGTGATGTATAGAATAGTGTAGTGTAAAGTCTAGTGATGTATAGAATAGTAGTGTAGTGTAAAGTGTAGTGATGTACAGAATGGTAGTGTAGTGATGTATAGAATAGTAGTGTAGTGTATAGTGTAGTGATGTATAGAATAGTAGTGTAGTGTATAGTGTAGTGATGTATAGAATAGTAGTGTATAGTGTAGTGATGTATAGAATAGTAGTGTAGTGTATAGTGTAGTGATGTATAGAATAGTAGTGTAGTGTAAAGTGTAGTGATGTATAGAATAGTAGTGTAGTGTATAGTGTAGTGATGTATATAATAGTAGTGTAGTGTATAGTGTAGTGATGTATAGAATAGTAGTGTAGTGTATAGTGTAGTGATGTATAGAATAGTAGTGTAGTGTATAGTGTAGTGATGTATAGAATAGTGGTGTAGTGTATAGTGTAGTGATGTATAGAATAGTAGTGTAGTGTATAGTGTAGTGATGTAAAGAATAGTAGTGTATAGTGTAGTGATGTATAGAATAGTAGTGTAGTGTATAGTGTAGTGATGTATAGAATAGTAGTGTAGTGTATAGTGTAGTGATGTATAGAATAGTGGTGTAGTTGTAAAGTGTAGTGATGTATAGAATAGTAGTGTAGTGTATAGTGTAATGATGTATAGAATAGTAGTGTAGTGTATAGTGTAGTGATATATAGAATAGTGTAGTGTAAAGTGTAGTGATGTATAGAATAGTAGTGTAGTGTATAGTGTAGTGATGTATAGAATAGTAATGTAGTGTAAAGTGTAGTGATGCATAGAATAGTAGTGTAGTGTATAGTGTAGTGATGTATAGAATAGTAGTGTATAGTGTAGTGATGTATAGAATAGTAGTGTAGTGTATAGTGTAGTGATGTATAGAATAGTAGTGTAGTGTATAGTGTAGTGATGTATAGAATAGTAGTGTAGTGTAAAGTGTAGTGATGTATAGAATAGTAGTGTAGTGTATAGTGTAGTGATGTATAGAATAGTAGTGTAGTGTAAAGTGTAGTGATGTATAGAATAGTAGTGTAGTGTATAGTGTAGTGATGTATAGAATAGTAGTGTAGTGTATAGTGTAGTGATGTATAGAATAGTAGTGTAGTGTATAGTGTAGTGATGTATAGAATAGTGTAGTGTAAAGTCTAGTGATGTATAGAATAGTAGTGTAGTGTAAAGTGTAGTGATGTACAGAATGGTAGTGTAGTGTAGTGATGTATAGAATAGTAGTGTAGTGTATAGTGTAGTGATGTATAGAATAGTAGTGTAGTGTATAGTGTAGTGATGTATAGAAATAGTAGTGTATAGTGTAGTGATGTATAGAATAGTAGTGTAGTGTATAGTGTAGTGATGTATAGAATAGTAGTGTAGTGTATAGTGTAGCGATGTATAGAATAGTAATGTAGTGTATAGTGTAGTGATGTATAGAATAGTAGTGTAGTGTATAGTGTAGTGATGTATAGAATAGTAGTGTAGTGTATAGTGTAGTGATGTAAAGAATAGTAGTGTATAGTGTAGTGATGTATAGAATAGTAGTAGTAGTGTATCGTGTAGTGATGTATAGAATAGTAGTGTAGTGTATAGTGTAGTGATGTATAGAATAGTAGTGTAGTGTATAGTGTAGTGATGTATAGAATAGTAGTGTAGTGTATAGTGTAGTTGATGTATAGAATAATGTAGTGTATAGTGTAGTGATGTATAGAATAGTAGTGTAGTGTATAGTGTAGTGATGTATAGAATAGTAGTGTAGTGTATAGTGTAGTGATGTAAAGAATAGTAGTGTATAGTGTAGTGATGTATAGAATAGTAGTGTAGTGTATAGTGTAGTGATGTATAGAATAGTAGTGTAGTGTAATAGTGTAGTGATGTATAGAATAGTAGTGTAGTGTATAGTGTAGTGATGTATAGAATAGTAGTGTAGTGTATAGTGTAGTGATGTAAAGAATAGTAGTGTATAGTGTAGTGATGTATAGAATAGTAGTGTAGTGTATAGTGTAGTGATGTATAGAATAGTAGTGTAGTGTATAGTGTAGTGATGTATAGAATAGTAGTGTAGTGTATAGTGTAGTGATGTATAGAATAGTAGTGTAGTGTATAGTGTAGTGATGTATAGAATAGTAGTGTATAGTGTAGTGATGTATAGAATAGTAGTGTAGTGTATAGTGTAGTGATGTATAGAATAGTAGTGTAGTGTATAGTGTAGTGATGTATAGAATAGTGTAGTGTAAAGTCTAGTGATGTATAGAATAGTAGTGTAGTGTAAAGTGTAGTGATGTACAGAATGGTAGTGTAGTGTAGTGATGTATAGAATAGTAGTGTAGTGTATAGTGTAGTGATGTATAGAATAGTAGTGTAGTGTATAGTGTAGTGATGTATAGAATAGTAGTGTATAGTGTAGTGATGTATAGAATAGTAGTGTAGTGTATAGTGTAGTGATGTATAGAATAGTAGTGTAGTGTAAAGTGTAGTGATGTATAGAATAGTAGTGTAGTGTATAGTGTAGTGATGTATAGAATAGTAGTG